CTACCTGCCCAGGTTTCGGTGTGAATGCCAGCACCACACCTGTGGGGAGACGTGTGATCGCTGCTGTGCGGGCTTCAGTCAGAAGCGCTGGCGGCCAGCCACGTGGGAGCAAAGCAATGAGTGTGAAGGTGGGTGCTAGGGTGGGGCTGGGGAGCAAGGCCAGTGCGCTCCTCCCCGTTACCTGAGGACTGATGCCATGTTTTCTCTGTGTTCACGAAGGGGCTGTGATTGTGTCATTTGTAGGGATTCAGGTCTGTCTATTAAATGAAAAACTCAGACTAGCGGGAAAAATGTCCCACTCTAAATTCAGATATGAATATGAGAAGAAAAATAACCAAAATAGTAATTGTTGGTATGCATTAAATATTCACTATATAGCAAGGATCAGGCTGAGTGCTTTAATATGTTGGCCTCTTCTTTTTACAGTCCTAAATAAGATGCAGCTACGATAAATGTTAACTCCTTACCATTTCTTAGATGTGATACTGGCTGGGAATCTGAACTATTTTGAGGACTGAAGTCCACAGAATGTGGTGAGATAGATGCACAAACACAGCTGTAAGCACAGAGGGAGTAGAGTAGGGAGGGTTGAGAGGATAATACAGTAGGAATGATGCAGGTGGAAGGTGAAGGGACCAGAGAAGAAGGAAAATTAGGAGGCTGTTTTAACTTACAAGGGTAATATAAAGCAAAAACCTTTTTTTTTTTTTTTTTTTTTTTTTTTTTTTTTTTTTTTTTAACAAACAAGCCAGAAGACATTCAACCATAGTGGTTTTGTTTGTTTGTTTGTTTTTTAAACAAATCTTCTTGGGAAGTGGAAATGTATTATATTGCTGGAAATATTTTTGTGACTTTTAGTTAATGACTTTAGAGAATGTGGCCCCTTTTACTGAATATTTTTAACATCCAAAGATGGAGTTACTTTTTTTTTAAAAAAAATTACAAAAAGCATTTGGGTACAGGTTTGTTGACCTAGGTGGGAAATAATTTGTAGTTTATACTTTTTAGTCAAATATTGGGTCATTGGGAAAGTCATGACACATTGTCATGACTTTTTCGACAACTTAGTATTTTCTGTAACTCTTGAGAGATAAAACTGATGAGCTTTTATGATCAGAAGGCTTAAAAGGCATTTCCAGTAAGGAAGGCCAAGAGAGTTCTGAGAGATGCTAACATTGCTGGGAGGTATTGTTACTGCCTAAGGCAAATACTCAGATACATCTCTTAGTCCAGTGGTGTTAACTTGGATGGGCATTCTCACTTACTAGTCATAGCTAACAGCTTCCTTCCCAATGACTCACCATTCTTCACCCCTAGATGAGGGGACCAGAGAGAGTGAAAGGTAAAAATAAGGGTCATTTCTAACACTGCATTTGGCACTAGTTAGGACACCTTGAATAAGTGCCATCATGAGAACTCCAACATCTGCAGCTTGCTTGGCTTTCCAGGCTAGTGGAACCCATTGATGAGTGCTGTGCTTCAGTGTTACTCATATAAACAGTTTAAAAATGTTGCCTTCACAGGTTTTAACCTTTTAAAATTTGTGAAAATAGTTAAAAAATGTCAAAAATAGTCTATGGAAATCATTCTAGTTAGGATCTATTAAGTGATTTTTAGTTTTTCTGTAAATTATGGGATTTAAAATAGATTTAAGACATAACTAATATGGTAAATATAAATGCCTTTATTTATTTATTTATTTATTTTGGAGAGGTTTTCGCTATAGGGCGCGTGTGCTCGCCAGACAGACAGAGAGAGACTTAGAGACAGAAAGCGAGAAATCACCCCCCAGGGGGGATGGTTACACCGCAATCCCTTCTCCTCCATTCTCCTCTTGGGATCTTGGGCATGCACACACACGCGCCCGGCGTGAGATTTAAGCCACCGGGTCCGAGACGTGAACCGCGGTCGACTACGTGGGAGTCCAACGACATAGCCATTACGCTAACTGCTGGTTCCCAAATGCCTTCATTTTTAAAAATTTGCTATAGGGCATGTACATTTGCCAGAGAGACAGACATGGAGATAAAGAGGGAAAGTGGAAAAGCACCCCCAAGGGATGTTCATATCATAATACCTTCTCCTCTTGTTCTTTTTTTTTTTTTTTGGATTTTGGGCATGCATTCACATGTGCCCAGTGTGTTTTTCAAGCCACAAGGTCTAGGACTCAAACTGTGCAGTGAATCATGGGGATCCAGCCACCTTAGCCACCATGCCACTGGCCATCCTGCCTTCATTTTTTTCTTTTTAAAAAATTTTAAGTTAAAAAAAAAATTTAAATCATGGCACTACAGAGGAAACAAAAAGAAGAAAATATTCAGCCTATAAAAACAGTTTAGCTTGTTTAATTCCTAATTTGGTCTTCTTCCCTAACATGTTCACTTGGGAACTTGTTAAAAACATACAAATTGCTAAAAAGATTTGGAAAATTGACCCAAGTGGAATGTAATGAATTATACATTCTGCTTAAGAAAGATCAAGGAATTTATTCTTGTTAAACTTTTTTCATCTTAGCAATGATGAAATCTTTGATCAGTTTTAAATTATATTTTCTAATTTTAGATGTACTATATGCTATTAATATTGTAGACAACTTGGGAATTATTATAAAAATAAAGAAAGTAATAGTACTAAGAATCTTACTATCTAAAGAGACCATTCGGATGGCTATAGCAAAGTAACATAAATGGAGTGGTATATAAACAGTAGAAATTTATTTCTCACAGTTCTGGATGCTGGGAAGTCTAAGATCAATGGTGCCAGCAAATCCAGTGTCTGATGGGGTCTACTTTCTGGTTCATAGATGGTGCCTCTCCTTGTGTCATCTCATGATAAAGGAGCAGGCTGCTCTCTTGGCCATGGTTGTCAGGCACTAATCTCATGAGGGTTCTGACCTCCTGACCTAATCTCCTCCTGGAAGTCCCCATCTCCCAAAATCATTGCATTAATGATTAAATTTCAACATATGAATTTGGGGGGACACATAAATTTAGACCATAGCAGAGAGCCACTAATAATGATTTGTTAGATATTTTAGTATTTTTCATGCATACCCTAAATACTTAAGATTATACTATCCATATGATTTTATACTTTATATTCAGATCTTTAGCGCTTGATGTTTTCAGATGTTTTCCCAAATTATTCAAAACTCTTTGGCATCACTTTTGGTGGCATAGAGTATTGTCATCCTGTGGATTTCAAGTCAATCAAACAAGTGTTAGATTGACAAGTGACTACCCACTATGTGCCTGTGACACAAAGGTTGTTGTGCAGTCCCTGCCATTATGAACCTACAGTCAAGCAAAGATACGTTGTTTTCTTAGCAAGTCCCTGTAATTAGATACTAAGATTATTCTCTATTGATCTCTATTATAGGGTTGAGATGAAAGATTTCCTGTATTGACTGAGAGTACAGGTTCTAGTGTCAAATAAGGCCAGGTCAGAATTCTGCCTTTCTTACTTATGAGCCATGTACTGTGGGTTGACTCTTAAACTCTCTAATTCTTAGCTTTCCCATCTGGGACGTGGGTGGGGATAATAGTACTTACCTTAGAGCGTTATGGTGCAGATTAAGTGAGATAATTCATGCAAAGTATTTTTTTTTTTTTGAGAGGTTTTTGCTATAGGGCGCATGCACTCGCCAGACAGACAGAGAGAGACATAGAGACAGACAGCGAGAAATCACCCCTCAGGGGGGATGGTCACGCCACAATCCCTTCTCCTCCATTCTCCTCTTGGGATCTTGGGCACGCACGCACACGCACCTGGCGTGAGTTTTAAGCCACTGGGTCTGGGACGCAAACCACAGTCAACTATGTGGGTGTCAAGCGACATAGCCATTACATTAACTGTGTGTGCGTGTGTGCGTGTGTGTGTGTGTGTGTGTATCCCTAAAATTTTCGCTTGTATTTCAGAATAGACTTCATTGTGACATGGGAGTTCTGGGTGATCAGACCCAATTCCTGTGCTGGTTCTTGTCTGACACGTACAAAGAATTAGAGACATGGACAGAGAGAATAGTAAGCAAAGTTTATTAAGGAAGGAGAGAAAGCTTCCAGTGCAGTGGAAGGGGATGTGAACGGGTTGTCAAAGAGTAGCTGGAGGGAGTAGTTTTTAATCCAGCAGTCAGAGCAATAGGCTGGCTGGCTTTCTGATAAGGAAATGGGCTTTAAAAAGTAGTTATGTGGTAGTCTGAGTGATTTATCACCCTATTCTTTGTATGGTCAGTAGACCAAAACCTTCTGTTCTTGTTAGAATACAATTACTAAACAGAAACTGTTGCTCCTAACTACAGTGGCTTTGAGTTCCAATGCAATCAACTTTTGGCTGTGAAACCTTAGCCACTGTGACTCTATCTTAGGCCTTTATTCTGCCTTTGTGCTCAATATCCGTGTTTCCTATCTTATTCTCAAGGAGTCATAAATTCTTTAGAGACGTATAAAAGGGTTGTGTGTTGTACTTAACCAGACCACAGAGGAAAAAACAAAGAAATTTTATTAAAAACAAAAACACGGTGACTTCCTTTCAGGGCCCTTACCCTATCTACCTGTAAGTAGTGTCTAAATTCTATCTCAATTATAGCTTAATGAGCAGTAATATTAGTTACCGGAAAAGTCATGGTACATTTTTTGCACAGAAAAACAGAAAAATACATCATGACTTTTCTGACAACCCAATCCTATTGGAAATTTACTAAGTGTCTTTTAGCAAGATGCGGATATTGACTGATATGCTTTTTCCAGCATGCAACTGCCATGGCCATGCCACTGACTGTTACTACGATCCAGATATTGAGCAACAACAGGCAAGCTTGAATAGCCAAGGCGTCTATGCAGGTGGAGGTGTCTGCATTAATTGTCAGGTAAGGCACTATTTAAATCACAGTGAATGTGGCAATGCTACCAGGTAAAATAGACTTCAAGAAAAAAAGCATTAGCAGAGATAAATAGGGACATTTCATGACAAAAGAGTTTTTTTTAGGAGTACATAGTGATTATACATATGTCTGCATCTAATAACAGAGCTCTATAATACATAGGACAAAATTTGACTAATAGAGTTAAAGAGAAAAACAGACATTTATTTAATTTTTTATTTCATTTCTTTAAGTTTATTGAATTGGAAAAGTCATGATGTGTTTTCCTGTTTTTCTATGTAAAAATGTTTCATGACTTTTCCAACTACCCAATAGTTGGAGATTTAAATACCACCTTTTCAGTAATTGATAGAATTAGATTTTAAAAATAAGCAGAGACATATAATCTGAATAACTCTACCAAATACCTTGCCTTAATTAATACTTACAGAATACTCTACCCAACAAGCACAGACTACACTTTTTTTCCCAAGTGTACTTGGTACATCCATCAAGATACTCTATAATGAAAGTCTGGGGCATAATTCAAGTTCCTTACATTTAAAATGATTAAAATAATATAGATAGAGAGTATATCCTCTGACTAAAATGTCATTAAATAAGCAATCAATAACAATAAGATTGCAAGGAAAAATTTTAAGACTTGATATAACATACTTCTAAATAATTCATGGTCAAGAAGAAAGCACAAGGGAAATAAGTAAAGATACAATATGGAATAGTAATGAAAACACAGCATGTCAAAATGTAGTTAAAGCAATACTTAAAGGACAATTCATAGTTTTAAATGCTCATTTTAGAAAAAAAAAAGTCTAAAATCAATGACCCAAAATTCTGCCTTAAGAAGTTAGTAAAAGAAGAGCAAAGCGAACCCAAAGTAAGTATTGAGAGAAGGAAGGAAATAATAAAGGTGAGAACAGAATTCAGCTGAAGAGAAAACAGGCTTCCAGCACTGGTCAGCTGCCTGGAGAACCATTCCTGTGGTGGTGGTACACTGCTGGGAGAGCATTGTCTTGCCTTTATCTGGTTGCCTTTGTCACTGTTCTGGTGGCGTCTGGCACTGGTGCAAGGCAGGACTGTGTTTACTTAAGTGTGTGCCAAGCATTCACTTTAGCTGCTTGGTTTTCTCCATGTATTCTAGTTAGATGGCTGTTCCCGTCTTTTGGGTTCTGCTCTATATTCCGTACTTCAGTATTCTTTACTTTGAGTCTGTGTAATAGTCTAAGTGTATATGCTTCTCCTAAAAAGAACATCAGACTAGTTTGTTCTAGTTTTTAAAATGTTTAACCTAAACCAGTTTCAGTAAACTAGGGTCATTGGAAAAGTCATGATGACCTATTGATGATGATGTGTATAGTATTCTCAACTGGATTGGTCTGAGAAGTATTTCATTTTGGGTAAAGTCTTTATACAAGCAAAATGAGAAATAGCGATTGGTTAAAAAAATAATTTGAGTAATAATAATGATCAGGAACAACAATGAAAAGATATTGAATGATGAAGTGGGGATTTTAATGTTTCTGTATTGACTGACATGCATGGCATTCCCTCTGGAAAAAGAAATGTAATAAACTTTAAAGTTATATGTGATTCAATGTAATATAAACAAGATTATGATGATAATAAATAAATTTAAAAAAAAGTCATGATGCATTTTTGCATAGAAAAATATGTCATGAATTTTCTGATGACCCAATATTTATCAAATGTATTTCAGGTTGTCATTCAAATCTTTTATATATTTAATAATTTTGAATTTTTAACATAAATTTCCTCCAGCCATTGCCCAAAATACTTGAAAGTTTTTTTTTTTTTTTGAGAGATTTTCGCTATAGGGTGCGTGCGCTCGCCAGACAGACAGAGAGAGACATAGAGACAGAAAGTGAGAAATCATCCCCCAGGGGAGATGGTCACGCCGCAATCCTTTCTCCTCCATTCTCTTCTTGGGATCCTGGGCACGCACGCACACGCGCCCGGCGTGAGTTTTAAGCCACCGGGTCCAGGACGCGAACCGCAGTCGACTACGTGGGAATCCAGCGACATAGCCATTACGCTAACTGCTGTTTCCCCAAAATGCTTGAAAGTTTTAACCTAACTTTTATTTATATGGAGTAAAAACTATCCTTATTGAATCTGAGGAAGTATTGGGATAAATCTTAAAATTAAGTAAACTTTGGAGTTTGGGTCTAGGCATTTTAAATAGCTAATATGTTATGGATTTATTAAAGATTGCTAGAGAAATAATGATTCTAAATACAGACAGTTTCTTTTTTTTTTATTTAAAAGAAAAAATTAGAAAGGAGAAAGTGGGCAAACAATAGAGAAATTTCATGGAGCCAAAGCCGGTTTCTTGGGACGGTCAACAAAATTAACAAACTCACAGCTACACTGGTCAAGAGAAAAGAGGAGATTACAGATTACCAATATCATATATAAAAGTGGGTTTATCACTAAAATGGCTACAGATATTAAAAAGAAGATAAAATGATACTATCAACAACTTCTTGCCAACAAAATTGTAAACCTAGATTAAATAGATATATATATGTGTATGTATGATACCTATATATCACACACATACATCCATACATATGTGTGTGTATATATATGTGTGTATATATATATATATATATGTGTGTGTGTGTATATATGTAATGAATTTGTGTGTGTGTATCACAGAGCTAAGACAGGATTAAGAAACAGACAGAGCACATAGGGCTGCATTTCCTCCTCCAGCAAATCCCATAAAATGTCAGAAAGGTATTTTAAAAGCAAGATAATTCCTCCTTCCAGAACCCATAATAGAATAAAAATAAATAAATAAAATAAAACAGAAAAGTGTCATCAACAGGCCAGGAATTTGAAGAGATTCCAGGAAGATAGTAAGCAAAAACACGTTTACGGAGGAGAACATAGATGTGAAGTTTGTAGTGATTTAAAGGCTGTCAAAGAGGAAACAAAGAGAAGGAATTAATTGTGGAGCTGAAATTTATAAAAGATGATCTATATGGAGAGGCATAATGTGTTTCCAGACATAATATTGTAGATAAACTATTTCTTAAAAACCCATCTATAAATTCAATGCAAAGTCAGAATTTCAACAGGATTTTTAAATAAAGTTGAGAATCTTAAAGTTCTTACCTATGAAGAATGTATGAGAATAGACAAATGGTTTAGATAAAATAAATAATTAGGGAAGAAATCAATCCTTTGGAAAAAAACTATTTTGGATCTATATTGAATATGGACTCAATGGAGGGATAAATAATACAATAGAACCAATAGCCAATCCAGAAATAAATTCATATAGATGTTAAAATTTGGTTTAAGAGCCAGCAGAGGGTGTAGCAATTACGTCGCTGGACTCCCACATGGCCGACCGCAGTCTGAGTCCCAGACCTGGTGGCTTGAAACTCACACTAGGCACATGTATGTGCGTGTCCAAGATCCCATGAGGAGAATGGAAGAGAAGGGAATGCAGTGTGGCCATCCCCTGTGGGGGATGATTTCTCACTTTTCCTCTCATTATCTCTATCTCTCTGGTGAGCACATGTACCCTAAGGTAAAAACCTATTAAAAAATTTTGGTTTAAGATAAATCAGCCATCCTAATTAGAAAGAACGATGGACATTACATACATGTTGGTGGAACTATTGGCTCTCCATTTGTGTAAAAGAAAAAAAAATGTCATATACAGAGGGATGTGGGGAGTCTTGATTAGGAAGGCAGAAGGAAGGGAGGTGCTGCAGGGCCAGGTTGCTTGGTGAGCTGTGAGGTGATGCTTCAAAGTCAAATATGCATTTATTGAAGACACATACCCGAGAGCAAGGCCTGTGTACCAGACACACAGTGGCTGGCTGTTTCCTACCTTTTCTGTGCAGTGCTGATAAGGGGAGAATGATGAAATTTCTGCCATCAGCTCTGGGCTGTTGCATAAAGTGGGAGTATCACTGACAGGCTGCCTCTGCAGACGCTCAGGTAATCAAGCCATCAGCATATAAGGAAGTGAGATCTTTATCCTGCAGGACAAGCAGTTTTCACAGATAGCTATATTCTCATGTGGTGATTTTAGCTTTATTTCTTGGATTTTCTGTATTAACTATTGATTGGGGATATTAGTTCTTTTTAATTGATCCTATTATAACTACTGGTTTAGAATATTTAAAATTTTAAATAAGATGGAGAATTCCTTGGCATGGGGCATTTGAGTAAAGACTTGAAAGAAGTGAAGGAATGAGTCAGGCATCTGGCTGGGGGAAGAGAATTCCAGGAGAGGAACCAGCAGGACCAAAGTTCTCCTGAGGGAGCCCGGGGCCTAGTGTAAGATGGAGGAGAGTGAGTAAGGGGATAAGAGTCCAGAGAGGTAAAAAGGCTAGATCAAGGGGAGGGGGAGCCTTGGAAAATCCATTATGGGCCTCCTGGAAGAGGACAGCCCCTGAACGGACTACCCAGTAGCCTCCATGTGCTTGAGGTTCACAGATATAAAGCCAGCAACAGTCATAAGTGTGATCGAGGAACTGAGAGAAAGAGAGGTAAGATTTGCCTGGAGATTGAAAAGCACCTGGAAAAGTTCTGCTTGGAGGAATTCAGACCTGAGACTGATGAGAGCAAGGTCTGGTTTCTAGGTGAGCATTCTAGGAAGCCTCTCTGGGTGGTGCCAAAAAGGAGGTAAATAACAGTGGGCTTACTGCCTGCATAGATTCCACTAGTGCTCACTCCATTGTCTTTAGCTTAGGTCATTGAGGTTTCCTCGTCTTATGTTATCATGCAAATACAACTAGAAGAACACACTTCTTCAGCAAGGTTGCTTCCTCTGGCATCTCCAATATAGAAATTAGGGATCCAGCACTGTCTTTAGGTCTCTATGTGGCCTTGATCCAACCAGTATCATGGTGTCCATGGATAAAGTGGTATGTCTTGCCTGTAGAGTATGCAGATCCTAGAGAGATGACTGAGTGAGATTTCAAGGCCAACTATAGATGTTATCTCATTTCAAAGTAATTTCTTTCTCTGTTTTTTTTTTTTTTTTTTTCCTATGCAGGGCACATAGGTTGAGGGGGGAGAGAGAAAGAGAGAGAGAGAGGGAGAGAGAAGGGAGAGAGAAATCACCCTCCTGGGGGAATGACCACACCACAATCCCTTCTCCTCCATTTGGGCATGCACACACATATGCCCAGTGTTATTTTCTTTTTTTTTTTTTTTTCCTATGCAGGGCACATAGCTTGCGGGGGGAGAGAGAAAGAGAGAGAGAGAGGGAGAGAGAAGGGAGAGAGAAATCCCCCTCCTGGGGGAATGACCACACCACAATCCCTTCTCCTCCATTCTCCTCTCGGGATCTTGGGTACACATGCACATGTGCCCGGCGTGAGTTTAAGCCACTGGATCTGGGACTCAAACCGTGGTCGACTACATCGGAGTTCAGCGACATAGCCATTACATTAACTGCTAGTCCCTCAGTGTGATTTTCAAGCCACTGAATCTGGTGCCCGAGCCATAGAGTCAGCCATGTCAGATCCAGCTGCCTTAAGCCCCATGCCACCTGCTGGCTCTCTCTTGGTCTTTTAATTCTGTTCTTTATGTCTTACAATATAACTTCTCTGTGGCAAAAGCTTTGTTAACCAAACTTTGTAATTAAGGAGAAATTCTTGGCTACCCACTTTTGAGAATATTTTCTCATTTCCCAATCCAATCAGAGAAGATTTAGGAGCCAAGGCTAACTTGCTGTTTTCTGTCTATTGTGAGTCTCAGTGGCAAGAGAAAAAGTTGAGGGTTAACTGGCATTTGATGGGAAGGGAGGATGAACTCCAGCTGTTTCTTATTTGCCTGTGATATTTACGTGTGTACATATTAAGTCAGAGAAATATCCAAAGCAGTTTTAGACCTCAAAGTTAAAGTAAATTCAGATTTTAGCCCACAGGACAAGGAGCGGTAATAAATAAAAGTCTGTAGTTAATAAAATCATCCAAAACTGGGGAGAGGATACAGAAGGGGTCTTTGTTTTCCTCTCTGTGTTTCTATGCAGACTTTTGTGTGGGTCGAAGTGTGTTATATTTGTTCTTGTTAACTTTCTATTGCCTTTCCTTTCATTAATGAAAGAACACTGTCTTCGTAATTATTTCCAAATTAGAAAAAGAGGCAGAATTGAGCTAGATCCATGGTGTCTTGGAAATTGATGATGCATGTTGGGTAATTTGATTTTGTGGCAATTACAAGGATTAACCATGAGCTAGAAAAAGCCACCTAGTATTGGACTTTAAATGAGCTTTGTGTATGAGACTCATGCTTACATTTCCACTCACACAATAGAAATGTTCAGAAAATGGTCTCATGACTACAGCATAGATAAAATTAGAATGACAAGAATCAAGGATTGATATATGCTACTTCTTCCAAAATTGGACAAAATATAAACACACACGACTCTTTATTTCTTGAGTTAAGCCTAGAGCTGGTTTGTTATTCATTCATTCGTTCTTCTGAAGGAATCTATGGGAAATAGTCTTCCTGAGTTTTTCCTCACTGAAATATCAAGTGTTTCACTAAAGCATGCTCTTTCATGGAGGGGAAAGCCTGGGTTACCTGGGCATGGAACTTTGCCTCATTTTCTTTCCAGGGGCAAAAATTTTCAGAACTAAAGTTAAGCCAGTGACCTGTGTAAAGCTTAGAGACTCAAGGTCAAGATCAATGTTTATAATTTTAGTGACTTTGAAATTACATTTGTATATGACAGAATTGTTTCTCTAGGTGAATAGCACAAAGCAAGAGTACTAGATTCTTCTCCAAGACCTTTCTTCCTAAGCCTCTTTTGTTTTCTTTCTAGCATAACACAGCTGGTGTAAACTGTGAAAAGTGTGCTAAGGGTTATTACCGCCCTTCTGGGGTTCCAGTTGATGCCCCCCATGGCTGCATCCGTAAGTTTCATTACATCTTGACATATCTGAAGCTGTGTGTACTGTGGCAAGGGAGTCATCAGGCTCTATTCTGACTGGCTCTTAATTTCCTTCATTCTCTCTCTCAACATTACTGGTTCTACTCCTTCCCAGCTGTGTGACCTCAAGCATTTACATAATTTCCCTGACTCTCAGATTTATTACATATAAGTGGAAATGATAATGTATTTAAGGTTAAGTGAAATGCTACCAAAAAGCTCCTAGAAAGATACTTAACATTGGGCCTGTTACATGCTAGATCTGCAATAAATGTTAGTTTCTCCACTTTCACTTATCTTGACATGTTCCTATGATTTCCCACGGTTTCAGCTTTTGTCAGCATTAGCATCAAGATAACATAGTAATGAATTCATGGGAATGAATAATAGTCACAGTATTTAAAGTAACTGGTCATTGAGCACTTGCTATATGCCAGCCGTTGACTGGATACTTTCACTGATGTGTTCATTATCACAACAAACTTAGGCTGTTGTATTATTATTCTCATTTTTAGATATGGAGAAGCAACAAGTCTGAGGAATTAGATATTTTGTCGTGGTTGACGAAACCACTATCTGATAGATCCAGCATGTGGTTCATGTCTGTCTGGAAAAACTATGCCATAACACAGCAGTCCCCAACCTTTTTGGCACGAGGGACTGGTTTCATAGGAGACAATTTTTCCACGGACGAAGGTGTGGCTTGGGGGAGATGGTTTGGGGGTGATTGAAGCACATTACATTTGTTGTGCCCTTTATTTTTTATTATTAATACATTGTAATATATAATGAAGTAATTGTATAACTCACCATAAGGAACATTCAACCTAGATTCCTTGCAGTTCACAGTAAAGTTAGTGCTCCTATGAGAATCTGATGCTACTGCTGATCTGACAGGAGGTGGAGCTCAGGCAGTAATATGATCAATGGGAAGTGGCTATAAATACAGATGAAGCTTCACTCTCTCACCTGCTGCTTACTTCTTGGTGTGCAGCTCAGTTCCTAACAGGTCATGGACCAGTACTGGAGGGTTGAGGACTGAAAGCTTATGTGCCATAACACATCTATTATACAGAAAAATCCCCTCTGGGTTTTCCATATGGAATTATCATTCTTTTTTTTTTGGAGAGGTTTTTGCTAAAGGACACATGCGCTTGCCAGAAAGACAACGAGACAGAGACAGAAAGCGAGAAATCACCCCCCAGTGGGGATGGCTACACCACAATCCCTTCTCCGTTCTCCTCTCGGGATTTTGGGCATGCACGCACACACACACCTGGCATGAGTTTAAGCCATGGGATCCAGGACTTGAACCATGGTCGACTACATGGGAGTCCAGCGACATAGCCATTACCCTAACTGCTGGTCCTGGAATTATCATTCTTAGGTCAGAATATGAACTTTGCTCTATATGTATAACTTATAATCTATTTAACACTTTGTTCTTTTATGTTGTCTGGTTGTCAGAGGCAGAACACAATTGTGGTACTGAAGTTGGATTTTGCCTGTCCCCTCCCCTCCAATTAATCTGTATCATTCATATTAGAGAACATCAAAGTCCAAAGCTTATCTCTGATGTCCCATGAGGTCTATCAATGAGATATCAGCGAGAAACGGGCATTGCCCTTTCAAGAATAACTATAGACAAATGATCAAATACAAAACATTGTTGGACAAACACTGGGACATGTTTGCTTTATTTGGTGCAGTGAAGGACTAATCATCTGAAAACTGGGATTTCTTTTAGCTTGCAGCTGTGATCCTGGGCATACAGATGACTGTGAACAGGGCTCAGGCCGCTGTCACTGCAAGCCAAATTTCCATGGAGACAACTGTGAAAAGTGTGCAGCTGGATACTATAATTTCCCATTTTGCTTGAGTAAGTATCTGCTATGGGACTGCTATGCATCCATTTAGGTCCGTAACTGTTATTTATGCATTAACATCTGAGGGTAGAGCAGGCAGAAGTGATGGTTAAGGGGGAAAACAGAAATGGAGTCAGGTAGGATATGTTTAAGTGAAAGTGTCTAAAAGTCTGGAACATAAAATTGCTATAGGTATAGTTCATAGTTTTATTTATCTCTAAAGTGCTACATTGTACCAACATTGTGTGGAAATGTCCTGCCATCGCCATCTCAGAAAGTTAAAGGCTCAAATATTGGCAACTTCAACTTAATAGTAATTCATGTGAGTAGCTTTTCCCCCCATAAACCTAAAAGAAATGACATGGGCTTCCATATATTCATTTGCATACATACAGTGTGTGTTGTGTTTGGGGGTCAGGGACTATGTTTCTTCTTTCCTGCTATAAAGGAGACCAAATTATCAGGTCCCCACCTCCACCTCACTGCAGTAATCTAAGTGAACAGATCAGGATCTCTAAGAGAAAAAAAATCTTTATGTGTTGGAAACACTATAGAATGTGAGGCAGGAGAGTCCATGGAATCACTTATGCAAATTGTGAGTAGAGTATTGGTTCTGCTTGTTCTGTAGCAGTACAAAAACTGCTCTTTTGGGTTATTGAAATAATATTGAAAAATTATAATTGTAATATTTTTTCAATATTATTATTATCAAGAAGAGGCCCTTCTCCTTCTTCATGGGTTGTTCCATTAATTGCTGTTCATCCCTACTCTCAAAATTCCTATAGCCCTAACACAGGAAAAGTGTTATAAGCTGTGAAGACATGGGGATAAGATTCATGTGAACAGAGTGACTATATATACCATCTTACTCCTGCTGTCCCAGGGTAATTGTTAAGATAGCACACACTTTCTCTGTTGAGAATGTCCTGCTTTAGATTATAAATTATACAATTGCTTTATATGAAGGGACTTCAAGAAATTCATGAAAAGATGAAATAAAGTCTGAGTTTATTTTGGCACACACACACACAAAAAAAAAACCTTGAAATCCATGCCTAGCTTTTTCAGAATGCCCATTTTCCATGAAAATTTTCAGGACCATTGAGTTTAAAGACACCAATGTTTTAAGCAGAAATATAATGATACCACATTGGGATTTAGTCAATTTAGAATCTGTGATTATTGAATAGGAAGAGAGCAGAAATTATACTCACCTTTTTAGTAAAAAGAAAAAGAAAAGAGGAGGAGGAAAAGGAGGAAGGAAAAAAGAAACCTGAAGTAGTTTCATAGCATAAACAAAATTTTAAGGAAAAACTTGAAAGAAGGCATTCTTTAAAAGCTGGTCTCAATTTTATATCTAAAAACCAATAAAGAGGCTGAAGGAGCCGAGAGCACCTTGCCTAGGCTGAAGTTTAGCAATTGTGAGGAAAAACCATCAATATAGTTTCATTAAATATAGAAATCAGAATGCTTAGCCAGTCTGGTTTCAATTGCTGGCACATTTGAAATGTAGAGATACTACTTCTTAGAAAAGTGGTCTCTATATGCTACTTTTCACTACAAGAAAGAGTTTTTTCCTACTTAGTGCAATTTAGTACTTTACTTTGTTGTCTCCTTAATCATTCTCTGTATTTTTAAATAAATGTTTTTCTTAATAGGAATTCCTATGTATCCCCTTTCTACTCCAAACCCAGAAGATCCAGTAGCTGGAGATATAAAAGGCACGTAACTTTCCTTTTGGTTTAACTTCTGTGAAAATGTTACACTTCCTATTTGTTTTCTATTTCCTGGGTACCCTGTTCAAGCCCAAGTTCAAATCCTGCATTCTAGAGCATGACTGATGCCTTACAGGTGTCTCTAATTGACCTGTACACCCCTCCCCCTATTCTCTATCCTAGCCTGTCTTTTACAATGGCACTGCCTGATAAAGGAAATGAAGCAGAGCTTGGATACATATCACTGAGTTGCTCAAAACACTTTAATGGCAGACAGTTGTCTACTGTCTTATTTAGGCTCTCCAAAAGCAAACCCAAGAAAGAAATTGGGTGCAAGTATTTATCTGGGAGGCGATCTTAGGAAACATCAGGAAGGTGGTGAGTCAGGGAGTGAAGGGAGACAGACCAAAGGTATGTTAGTCAGCAAAGTCCTTCTGTAGCATCTGGAGCTGTATCCCCCTAAGCAATGCTGGGAGACAGCCAGAACTTCCTCAGAGTTACCCCAGTAGAAGGGGTGATGTCAATGTCTGCCATTGGTGGAGGACTGCTTCTGCAACACTGGCTCTCTGGCACTTACAACTTGGACTGCAGGAAGGCTGAGGAACTTCAGCCAAAACAAGTCCCTGGGCAGAGTGGCAGGGGTGCAGTAAGCAGTCTGTGGAGAGAAAAGGGAATATCCAGAGGATGTGGGTGCTACATCTATCTACCCAATCATTTTTCCAATCATTTTTCTACATCTATCTACCCAATCATTGCTACATCTATCTACCCAATCATTTTTCCAGGATGTGGGTGCTACATCTATCTACCCAATCATTTTTCCAGGAGTGTTTTAGTATTCCCTATTCATTGCAAAACACCACTCTGGCTATTGAGAACTTAACAGAGAATGAGAAAGAAAAACAATCCCAGCTTGGGACCAGCAGTTGGCGTAATGGCTATGTTGCTGGACTCCCATGTAGTCGACCGCGGTTTGAGTCCCAGACCTGGTGGCTTAAATTCATGCTGGGCACGTGTGCGTGTGTGCCCAAGATCCTGAGAGGAGAATGGAGGAGAAGGGATTGTGGCGTGGCCATCACCCCTGGAGGGGGGCGGTGATTTCTCACTTTCTGTCTCTCTGTCTCTCTCTGTCTTTCTGGAAAGTGCATGTGCCCTATAGAAAAAACTTTTCCAAAAAAAAAAAAAAAAAATCCCAGCTCTTCTAGAGCTTCTACTCTGCGGGGTGTGTGTGTGTGTGTGTGTGTGTGTGTGTGTGTGGTGAGGAGACACAGAGAAAAACAACTATAATACATAAACCACAAAACCAATAAAATATCTCATGTTATTATTATTCTATGATATGCAGGTTGTATCCTGCACTAGGGTGCCATCTTTCAGAAGAAGCTATTGATAGCATAGACATAAATTCAGAAGAAGAATCTAGCCTCCGCGCTTTGCTCTCAGACTGTGGCCAATTTCCCTACATACATCGTAATTGCATGCACAGGGATGTACATATACTCAGAAGTACATGCATGAACCAATATAAGAGCATACTGCATGCACGCAGCCCAGAACTGGGCCCTGTCTGGGTTATGTTCAAGTCACCCACTTAGTTCATCTTTCCTGCTCCAGAGTACTCCAAAGGCCTGTTGACCATGTGCTCATCTCACTGGGGAGGAGGTAGCGGGGGCAGTGTGTGAACACAGTTGCCCCTCTACCAGCATGTCCAGAGTGTGGACAGACCAAGAAGATGGTGTCTGAAATGCTCTCATTGGCAGAATAATTCAGATTCTGCAACAGCATAATAGCTTAGGGCCCAAGCTAAGGGGAAGCCTTGTAAATGAGGTTTGTAGATAAAAGAAGAGAAAAAGGAAACACTGGGGCTTGGCTTTTAGTTCTTTGTCAGTCACTATGAAGACCTACCTATTCTGTTGCTAACAGAAATACCTGAGACTGAGTTAAAAGAATAGAGGTTTATTTGACTCATGATTCTGCTGGCTGGACCATCCAAGAGTATTAGGATGGCTTGTGGTTGGCCTCTAGTGCTGTTACAACATGGCCAAGAGAAGCAGACAGATCTCCTTGGGCATGTGCAGTGATGGAGAGAAAGAGGGAGGGAGGGGGGGGAGAGAGAGAGAGAAAGAGAGAGGAGACCGAAACTATCTACTTCCTCTGTTTGACCTTCCCACATTCCAGCCAATTGGTTGGTGTCTGCTCATATTGAAGTTGGAGCTTCCTCTTAAAGGTCTTAACACCTTCCAATGCCATTATGTTAGGGACCGAATTCTACCACATGAAACCTTGGAGGGACAAACCATTATCTAAACCATGGCAAGAACTTACCTTTTACTTGGAGTGTGATGGAGGCTATAGAGAGTTTTGTACAGAGAAATGACCTTATATGAGTCCTGTGGCTACTGCATTGAAAATATTAATAAATTAGAGGGAAAAGAGAAGAAGCAGGGAGACCTGATGGGAAGCGAGGGCCATAATCTATCAGGAAGAGATGATGGTGGCTCTGACCCAGGCAGTCTCAGATGGTGAATATGATCTGGGGGTGGAACCAGCAGAATTTGCTGGTCTAGAATATGAGAAAAAGAGAGGGTTCTAGGGTAACTCAGGCTTTTAGAAGGAGGGGGGAAAGTAGTTGCCCTTTGTAGAGATAGAAATACTGAAAAAGAGAAGGCAGAATGTGTGGACTGGAGGTGAGACAGTCAGCTATGGGGACGTGGGAGCTTGTGGAAGCTCTCTTCTGGCTGTTTTTTTGTTTTATGTAAGACATAGTAAATGATGTCAGGGGCAGAAAGTGAGAATGAGAAGGAGGGTTTGGAGTTGAGGGGGAAGGTGGTAGAGTCATCCAGGAGCGTGAGGGAGTACATGGACTTGGGAAATGTCATGGCATTGCTGGCCAGCACAGAGGGCTCACTCAAGATCAGCTGTAAGGTGACTCTGGTTTCCCATCTATCTTTATTTCTGCTTCTATGCCCTACTCACATTCACCTCCTCTGATCAAACCATGGTGCTGTGTTATTCATATGGGATATTGTCTTATGCCTTTGTTGGACACTTGGGTAGTTGAGGACAGCAGCTAGCTTGACTCAGTTTGCAACTCTTACATTATCTACCATGCTTTGTGTCCATAGTGGGTATCAGTGAATGTTCCCTTAAATGTTTGTTAATCGACTAGATTGGAACTTGGCTTTCGAGCCTTAGTTACAAGAATGTTTTAGAGCTTTGGTTCTCTTTTACGAGAATGTTTTAGATCTCCCATTTATGGTCTCCTTATAGTAATCCCTTTGTTATTGAATTTCTTCCTCTCTCCAAGTAGCCTGGTGGTGACTTCAGAAAAAGAAATATAATTGAACTTGAAAGGCAGTACAAATGTTTGTTATAAAATGTTAGGGAAGCCTTAGAACATAGCCTCGAGGAAAAGAAGTTTCAATTAATGTAATTAGTTTTATTTGGGAATTTGAATGCACAGATAGCCACTTCAATTTTTATTGATTCATTTTAAAAAGTTTTAAAATTTATTTCTTATTATAATGAGAAAGACAAAGAGACAGCACCCCAGCAGGGTGTATTTTTTTCCTCCATAACCCAGCCCCATCCTCAGCCAGTCATAGTTCATGGACACTGCATGCCTTTTGTGCTCAGGGAGGTCTCCAGATGTAAACCTGGAACCTTCCCATGTGGGTCAGCCTCATGGAGTGTTGCATTTTACCACTGCATCACTACCTAGCCCCTCAAGTGCATTTTTAAAACACTTAATTTGGGGCTTAACTCCTGGCAGTGAATTTAATCTAGGACATACCCTGAAAGTTGCTTTTAAAATCATGATCAATTTATATTCTTAAGTAGAGTAGAAAGAACTCAGGCTTTGGAATCAGGCAAATCTGTGTTCAAATCTTGCCTTTGTCCCCCTGACTGTGAGACTCTAAGAAAGTTCATTAACCTTTCTGAGTGTATTTCTCCTTCAACTACAAAATGCTCACATGGGGACCAGCAGTTAGCATAATGGCTATGTCTCTGGACTCCCACGTAGTTGACCATGGTTCATGTCCCAGACCCGGTGGCTTAAAACTCACGCCGGGTGCGTGTGCGTGCAGGTCCAAGATCCCGAGAGGAGAATGGAGGAGAAGGGATTGTGGTGTGACCATCCCCCCGGGGGGGTGATTTCTCGCTTTCTGTCTCTATGTCTCTCTCTGTCTGTCTGGCAAGCGCACGTGCCCTATAGCGAAAACCTCTACAAAATAATAATAATAATAATAATAATAATAATAATAATAATAATACAATACAATAAAATAAAAAACAAAAAACCCCCAAAATGCTCACCTGTTTTTCAGGGCTTGTGCTTGACTTCTGTATTTATCTATTCATAATGATATCAAGCAAGAGTTCTGTCATGTGAAAAACACTTGTTTAGAAATGCTGTACAATGGCACTGGAGTCCTGTGATGAACTCTCACCAGTGTCCAATATGCTTGGTGTTTCACGCTTCTATTTCTGTGTAATAAATCACCCCCAAAATTTAGTGGTTTAAAATAACTAGGGTGATTTCTCACTATCATGTGACTGGGTAAGTGATTCTCTGCTGTGCTTATTGGAGGGTTTGCTGGGGGCTAGGTTTGCTGGGACAGGTGAGCATTTCTCCATGTGTCCTTTATCCTGAAGAAAGCTACACTGTGGGTCCCTCCCCCAGGGGTCCCAGTATTTCCAGAGGGTAATGTAATGTAACGTAATTTCCAAGGGCTATGGTGACCTGGGCTTAGAGGTCACATAGCAGGTCTTCCACACTATTCTCTTGGTCATGCAAGTCATGGAACAGTAAGTGATTTCAAAAATTAAAGTGCTGTGAAAGACAAACATAACTAAGCTAGAGAATGGGGGTGGGTGGGGGGCTTATATATACAGATTGATTAGGAAGACCTTCTTGGGGAGGTGTTTTTGAACTGACACTTTCTAGACTATCAGAAACAGTATTGGCTGTGTCAAGAACCAGTGAAGGGGCATTTCAGACAGAGTGAATGGCCTGAGCAAAGGTCCTGTGGTGGGATAGTGCTTAACTGAAGCAGCCTGGTGCTTTGAGGGCTGTGTGCCTGAAGAATTACCTGTGTCAATATGAAGGAAGCCACATCTGGGATGTAGTGGGGCAGAATTTATGTTTCTTTTCTTTAAAAACATGGAGGATGGATGGTAGAAATAAGTTTAATTCAAGATTGTCATTGGATTCAAATTTATTAAATTGTCCATGTATTACTATACAAGGTTCAGATTTAGAGGTAGAAAAAGTGTTTCCACAAGCAGAGATGTTAAAACAATTGTAACTGTTTTGTAGGATAATGCTCATCCTCTCTCCCTCTCTTCTTCCTTCCTTCCTTCCTTCCTTCCTTCCTTCCTTCCTTCCTTCCTTCCTTCCTTCCTTTTTAACTTTGTCAGAGGGCTTGTGTGCTTGTCAAAGAGAGAGAGGGAAAGTCAGAACGTACCATCCCACCACTCCATGGGAAATGGTCACTCTGCAATTTCTTCTCCTTCATGTCTCCCTCCTTTCGTTTTGGGCACGCACACACATGTGCCTTGTGTGTTTCTCAAGGTATCGGGTCTGGGACTCAAACTGTGTAGTTGGCTATGTGGGATCCAACTGCCTTAACCACCATGTCACTGACTGGCCCCCAAAATGTTTCTTAATGATATCTCTATCTTTTTCTAGATATTTCTTTATTTTCCTTCTAGCTGTAGACTTTTGGGCTAAGAATGTATACAAGCTATAAATAATTCATAACCTGTATTTTCATGACAGAACCCAAGGGGGAAGGAGAAGTGATAAAGGAATGGTGGGTGGAGACTCCCTCTGAAGTCTCTTGTCCTTTACAGGGTGTGACTGCAACTTGGAAGGTGTTCTCCCTGAAATATGTGATGCCTATGGAAGGTGCCTGTGCCGCCCTGGGGTTGAGGGCCCTCAATGTGACACCTGCTTTTTGGGTTTCTACTCATTTCCTATTTGCCAAGGTGAGTGGACAAAACACCAACAAATCAATAATCAGTCCTTCAGATACATTTCTTCCTGAGGAAATGTGCAACATCTTTCTGGCAGAGTGGGTACAGTTTAATAAATTAGCCTATGGCTTACATATGTATGTTACACGAGACTGTCTTCCTGCCTGGATCTTGTCACCTAGCCTCTTTTGTCTCTCCAACCTTAACCTTTCCACCTGCTAGTGCTCTGGAATCAGCTGCTTAGGTTCAATTCCTGGCTTTGGAGAGGAGGTGATATCTGAACAGTGTTTCTGAACTTCCATGTAGGTGAGAGAGGAGGCAGGGCTCTAGGGAAAGGGGATGGCAGATGTCAAGTTGTAGGTACACAAGACCACAGACTTCTCCTTCTCCACTTGTTTTGTTGTCCTGGTACACCATCCTAGTAAGAGTCACTGAAGGCAATGGAGGGTAGAAAGAGGAGGTGTCTTGCTCAGCCCCTAGAATATAATATTGAATTGTTAGGAAAATCATGACACACTTTTGCATAGAAAAACAGAAAAATACATCATGACTTTCCTGATGACCTAATCAATATGCAGTAAAAGTTGGGTGAATGAAGAAATGAATGGATAAAAATTGGTCCAAAATCTTCTTTTTTTTTCCCCCCAAGTTTTTGCCATAGAGCACATGCAGTCACTGAAGAAAGACAATGAGAGGGAAAATGAGAAAACACCCTCCAGGGGGATGGACACAATCCCTTCTCCTCTATTTTCCTGAGATATTTTGGGCATGCAAGTATACATGCTCGGCGTGAATTTTAACTTGCCAGGCCCAGGACTTGAACTGCTGTTGACCACGTGGGAGTCTAGCACCTTAATTACCATGCCACTTGCTGGCCCCACAAGTGCTTCTTTTCTACCTCCTGCATACTGTCTGACATTATTCTTCCCTCTGTGGCTAATGTAGGAAAGGGAGAAAGAAGAATTGGAGAGGATTATCAGTCAGGACCCACGGCAGGAATTCAACTCTATTCCAGGTATTATAAACAGAGAGACTTACTAGAGGCAATGAGGTAGTAAGTGGAGTTGTTAAGAGCCAGTACAACAGGCTCTATACTGGGCTTCCGGGGAGACCTCCAGAGACATGGTTGAATTTTAAGCCCAGGCTGCTGGGCACAGTGCAAGACTAGGAAGACCATGGTTCTGTTACCCCATAACCATCTCTTGGCACCAGGAAGCCAGAGATGGGGCACAGCAGCAGAAGTTCTAAAAAAGCAACAGGTAGGCAGCATTCTCTTTACTTCCCATCGTTTTATATTTTACTCAAATACTCTTGATTTGCAAAATTCTATTGGCATCCAAAGCCCAATCGTCCAAGAGGATCTGGGATGTGCTATTTTTAGCTTTCTAGCCTCTGAACACAGGAGGAGGTTAGAATAGGTATTGAGAAATCTCATCCACAAGATCAGACATGCTAAGGAACTGTGAGTGGGGGATGGAGCAGGAGAAACTCTCCCCTAAACTGGAGGACAAAGTAGTTAAGAATAAGGGTCACACTGGCTATTAACTTGGATAAGTTACTTAATTTCCCAGTTCCTCGGTTTCCCATTAGTAGTACCTACTCCATAACCTTGTCAGGATTATGTGTGTACTGACATGTCAAGCTCTTAGAGCCTAGAAAGCACTCACCTGTACATGCGCTATTATTCTTTTACCCTTATTCATCTTCTGTCACATACCTCCCTCTGTATCATTTCAAGAACCTGTAGTCCCAACCCCAGATCATCCCGTTTGCTCATATGTCTGAATGCCACACTCCAAGCCTTTCTTTTTTTTCTCTGGGCTTCTGGCATGCCCTATTCATTGATCTCTCTCCTTTGCCTTCATTTCTCAGCCTTTGTCTCTCTGCAGCCACAGAACAGAAATAAATAAAAATTATCAAAAAGAATCAAATGGAAATTCTGGAGTTGAAAGTATAATAACAAAAAGGAAAATTTTACTGAAAGAATAAGCAGACTTAATTACAGATTGATAGCTGAAAAACAGAGGGGAAAAAAATGAAAACTAATAATCCTCAGAGAAATATGGGACACCATGACACCAAACATATGTGTCATGGGTGCTCCATAAGGAGAGGAGAAAGAGAAAGAGGAAAGAAAGAGAAAAAAAATAGGAAAAAATAGTCAAACAAATAATGACTGGAAACTTTCTAAATTTGATAAAAAAAATCAACAAGCAAAAAACCATCTATCTACTTTAGAAGCTCAATAAACTCCACCCAGAATAAAGACACAAGAATTCATACCCATACACATCATAGATAAAGCTGAAAGACAAAAACAAAGAGAAAATCTTGAAAGCAACAAAATAAAAATGACTCATAATGTACAAAAAAATCCTGATTAGAATAACAACTGACTTCCCATCAGTAACAGTAGAGGCTAGAAGGCAGTGGGACTGTATATTTTAAATGCTGAAAGTCAAGAACTGTCAACTATGAGTATCTTCATATAGACTGAAGGCAAGATGTCTCTTACTTAGAGGCAGAACAGGGAGAGGGTGTCACCGGGTTGAAAACAGCCTGTACTTAGTGTGCTGGGGCTAGGGATGTGTGGGTGTTTCCCATTACCAGATGTTGAGGAGTCTGAGTGGGCGTCTTTGATCCTGTTCAGTAGGTCTGTCCAAAGATACCAGGAAACCTCAGCCAAAGCAACTGAAGTTTCTGCCCAGACGCTTGTTTGAAAATAAAGTGTATCAATAGAAATGCTGAGGCTTGGGAACCAGCAGTTAGAATAATGGCTATGTCACTGGACTCCCACGTAGTCGACGGTGGTTCGTGTCCCGGACCCGGTGACTTAAAACTCACGCGGGGCGCCATGTGCGTGCATGCCCAGGATCCCGAGAGGAGAATGGAGAAGAAGGGATTGCAGCGTGACCATCCCCTCTGGGGGGGTGATTTCTCGCTTTCTTTCTCTATGTCTCTCTCTGTCTGTCTGGTGAGCGCACGCGCCCTATAGTGAAAACCTCTCAAAAAAAAAAAAAGTCATAAAAAAAAAAAAAAGAAATGCTGAGGCTTAGTAAGGCCAACAGATTGGGAGATGACTGCCATTGAAAAGATGGTTTGTTGCTCATAGTTCCCAGAAGAAGAGGTTGGGGCATGCCATGGGGCCCACATAGAGAAGCACCAGGATTTGTCCGAAAGCAGAAAAAGTGGGGCAAGTATGTGGAGGGGAAAGCTGTGACCAAGAGCCATATTGTGGTTTCCGCAGGAAAGGGTGAGACTAGGTGAGCAGATTTAGAACTGGCTGGTTTGGATAATTCAGTGGGCTGTGGGTATAGGAGCTGTCCCCAGTTGTCTGGTACTTAGGTTGATTAGGGTATGAAGGTGGTGATCTAAAGTGTGAGAACTGAAAAAGAGGTGGCTGGGGGGCGGGGGGGCATGGACTCTAGATTGGTTGGTTTGCATAGGAAAAGACTGCAGCAAGGCCTCACAATGGAGAAGCATCCAACTATAGAAATAAGACATGGTTAATACAATACCTGGCAGCTGAGACGGTTGAGGCCTAAGGAAAGAGTTGAACTTCAGGAATAGAGAGGCATTAATCAACCAGGGACAAGGTAAAGAAAGGAGAGAAGTACCCAACAGGAAATCTGAAGAATTAGCTTCAGATTACTATAGGTCTGGTTCAAGAAGAACAGTCTTTCCCCCTTCCTCTCCTTCCTCCCCTTCCTCCCCACACAAACTCAGGGACAGATGCAAAGTTGAAGCCAGCAGTGGAGAAAGAATGCCCATACCCACCCTCAGCCTACCCCTACACCTGCCACTCCCACTTTCCCTTCCCACCATGGCTTGAATCAGGTCTGAAATGGAGGAGGAGAGCTTTGACCTTAAACTTTTAGGTCATTGGGAAAGTTATGACGCATTTTTGCTACTAGAGTTTTCATTTAGGTTCAGGGGCACAGTCACCCACACTGAATAAAATTGAAAAGGGCTGTGGGACTTAGTAATAGCAGCAGAGCTTGAACAGTACTTGAGCACTACCTGCATAAACTCTCAGTTGCAACTCTGTGTGGCTTAACTTTTCTTGCATTCCTTAAATTTTTCTGTGATTCTCATTTCTTTCTAGGAACTGCACTCATTTTTAATATGCTGCCTAATTAAAAATTATTAGATTTCTATAAAAAAATTCCAAACTAATTTTTTTCTCTTAAAAATCACTGTTTTAAAATGTGTGCTATAATTCTTTGATCTTCAACAGATCATTATTCCATCTAGCTGGAACTTGGTTATGTGGTTCATGTATCTTGAGCAAAAGTAAGAAGCGAGCATTGAGCTCCCTAACCCCTTATTGCCTCTGTAAAGTAAAAAATACAATCTCAAAAATGTGCATTAAAGGAATCACATAGACTTCCTACTCAACCTAGTCCATCTGTCCTTCCTTCCTTCCTTCCTTTCTTTCTTCTTTCCTTCCTCCCTCCCTCCTTCTCTCTTTCTTTCTCTCCCTCCCTCCCTTCCTTCCTTTCTTTCTTTCCTTCTTTCTTTCTTTTCTACTTCTAAAGTAATTATATGAAGTCTGGTTATTTGTGTTCCAGTTCAAACTTGTGGTGAATTAAAAACAAAATTTGAAGGAGGAAATGCTACTATGGTAACATACTAATAGCAGGGAGGAAACAGAAAAGCAGACTTGAAACTGAAGTATAGTAGACAAGGGCCATTTAATGAAAGGCACATAATTACTCAACTAGGAAGATATTGAGGATATCAATAATACTTACTTATGTAGATAAGCATTATTATGACGACTGTACGTCCTAAAGAAATGGTTGTGTTATGTATAATGTGACTGCATCAGAAGGAAGGGAGGCATATAATACATTTTAATAAGAGTACAATTTTAAATGATAAAAATGAGAACATTTTGATTAAAGAGTCAGTTATGGGCCCAGCCTCTAAGGCACAGTTGGTAGTGTTCTAGACTGCAGAGTTGGAAACCACATACTGACCATGGTTTGTATTTTCTACTGGGTTGACCT